TTAACATCAATAAAGTCTTTACGGCTTCCGCTTAGAAAGTAAACCTATTTTTCATTATCGTGTGTTTTGGGTTTGAGCTTAACAAAAATTGATACAAAACTTTTCGTTTTGTTTTGGTTCAAAGTTCTCAAGTTGTTGAATTGGTGTCTGATTTTTCAACATTTCAGCAACAGTTTCAACGCGCGATTATCGCTTGCTTTTAGAAGTTTTAAAGACTGATCTTATTAACCATTTACAGTCATGCCCTTTGATTCCTTTTAGTAAAGTAAGTTTTTTTAATAATGTTAAATGTGTTAAAAACTCTGGTTGAACTGTAACCCTCTCTCTTTCTCAATAACAATCACAACGCTCAAGATCATCATCATCTTCAAAGCCGATTTACTCACTCACGGAAGTTATACATAGTGAGACGGTACAAAAATAAATGTTCAAAGGTACGACTAATTTAATAATAAATAATACTGTAATAGAGGGCGAGTATGAAGCTCATTTTAACTCAAAACAGTTTTACTTCTGATTATTGCCGGTTTTTTTTAAATACAGTTAGTAGCATTTTGTTCCATATAACGTATTAACATTGTGTTCAAACGATAAATTGAGTCTTCGGAAAGCTTTTTTTTGTAGAAATCACGATAGTACTTTTTTGCTTTCTGTAAATAGTAAATTTAGAAGTAGGAAAAATTCCAGAAAGTTTGTGGGGCACCACTTTAGTTTCCTTATGGAAAGTTACTTTACAATGATTAAATGAAAACTGTAATTTTAGTAAGAGAAGCGTCCATTTCCGAGGTTTCCCTCTCTTTAAAAGTTTTTGAAATACCGATAAAAACCACACTGAACCACCCTGAAAGAGTATTCGGATAAAGATGAATGATTTTATCTTCCCCATCGGAAATTCATAAATTATACAAATTTGAAAAGTTTTTAGTATGCAATTTTACATCATCAATAAGTGATTACTTATTTACTTCTCTAAATATGTATTTTAACTATTAATTAAGTATTAATAATCTTGCATTTTTTAACGGTTTGGAATTATTTTACTTCCCCTACACCTGCATGGTTCAACAATGCAATTCAAACAGAAAATACTTCAAACTTATAATCGTCCTTTTTTACTTTTCAATATTAACGTTATCTTTTACACATTTTTTTAATGGCACTTTTCAATGACAAGACAATCGATGTCCGCGTAGATTGTGATAAGTGCGGACAACAAGTATAAACTGTGAGACTTTACTTTTTTTTAAATCAATCAAATTTTTAAATCCAATGCATGTCTTGAGGGTTTTAATACTTGTTTAAGGGTCACAATTATATGAGATACAGCGGAAATGCATTTCAAAAATTTGTTGTTATATTTGTTAAAATGTGTGATTAGCGTGATGTAATATAATCTAACCTAATTATTCAACGTAACTATGTGGTTATTTAACAGCAGTAATCTATTGAGGATGTGGGACATGTTAATCTTTTTTCATCGGTTTTAATTCAATTTTCAACTACATACGCAAGTACCAACTTTCCTCAAACAATTTATGACATCTTTCGGTTGATCGTAAATATAAAATTTATATGGTGGCATACATTGACGAGGTAGTTTTTCTCTAACTGTTAAATCTGCGCGTAATATTTAGCAAAATTCACAACTATAAAATCGAATATCACATTGCCATAAAAAATATACAAGTACCCATTTATAGAAAGCTGTCTTAGTAGTCAGCTTGAAAATAAAATACGTGCTAATTTCGGACTCTAAATTTGGATAACATACTCGATTGTCTATTTAAAAGCAGCCAGTTGATTTATTATGAACATATCCTAATGAAGATATTCTCGACAGTCAGCATACATATAAAATGCAGACAATACACATGCAGCCTTGGCGCACTGAAATATTTGTTGGAAAAACCGTTCTGATCATGCCATATTCCGACTATAAAACATCTAGCCCATTCCAGACCATAATAGGAGATAGCCCAGATTTATATTTTCCATTAGACACGGCTACAAATTGATTGTATGGTTAAAAGAATGTCGCAGTGCAGACATTGCAGCCATAAAAGAGATGGCGAGGGATCTCATTCACATTTAGATTCCTAATAGCCCTTTAGATAAATATTACAGCGCCCCTGCACTTGGATCTATTAGAACAAGACGATAAGCGGATATGGGCATTTTCCATGGAATTTTTCTTACATTGCCTTAGGTTAGGAATTGTTTTTTACGTAATATTTCTGGCGCTGCTAACTTCTTGTTGCGTCGTCAAAATGTCTTGTAGATTTCACCGTTCCGGCCTTAATAGTCTTGTCTAGTAGACCATAAATAGACTGTATGTATGTTATATTTATTAATGCGAAATAATTACCTTTTTTCGTTTAAATATGCGGAAAAACGAAAATAGCAAAACGCATAACACATGTACGTACCTTGTTTTTGTCTCGATACTTATTTCCATTTGACGCATGGAACTTGAAAAAATTAAATTAACTTGTTTGTTACACACACACACACACACACACACACACCTATAGTTAGTTGTTCATTCAAACAGTATAATTTACTAAGCGCTTTAATGATTTGTCATCCATTTGAGCGGTTACTGTAATTAATTACTTTATTGTTGTAATATTTTTTGCACTAGGGTGATTTTAATTATATGTCATAAAATTGGCGTCACTCCTTTGAAATGATTAGGTGGAGAGTAGATACGGGAGAAATGTTGAGTTTATTTTTCGAATATTGCTTAAATTTGTGCAAATTGTCTATTTAGAATCATTACGGTTTTATGTTTTCAGACAGATATTTGTTGGTAAACCAGTCAGAAAATGTGCGATTGGTTTTGATTATGCTGTTCAATTTGATTCAAAGCCTAGAATTGTTAACAATGTCGAACATGCATAAAGTTTACCGTTCTAGGGAAGTTAATGAATCAGTCAAATTTTCTACATATTGCAAGCAAACTGCTTCTTTTGCCAACGTGAAGGTCATCAGCTGATTTCTGAAGTGATAATATTCATTGAAATCTTGGGTGTTTTTCCATTCAATTTTAAAACATTTTAAGGCACCAGATATTTATGTAATGTTAATGAGAAAAACATTTTTGCCACGGGAGATCAAATATGGGGTTGCACCCGTTATGACTGATTTTACCTAAATATCGCACTTTGATGATTGATTTTTTAAACTATTTCGCTCTGCTTATTGCATACCTCCCGGCAACACCACCAGAGGATTGACACTGGAAACTTTGTAGGAAATTCATATGACTACTTACAAGCATCAAAGTAAACCTGAGCGTTTTATCTTTATGATGTTTTTATTTAATATCCTCAAAATATTTTATGATTGGTATCATTATATCGATTTGAACCCTGTTAAATTTGAGGAGATATGGCTTGCATTTTTTCGGTTTTGGCAAGTATATGCCAGTTGGGTGACGCCCGGCTAAGCCCAAACCCGTTGTTAACTTTGCCTATTTGCTTTCAAATAAAAAGTTTGCCCGTCTTAGATTTCGCTCGCCTATTACACTCCCACTTTCGCTTATCTGCAAACATGCACATTATTTTATTATTGTTTGCGTGATCGGTCTACGAATCGCCCACGTGTGAACGTCTTGTTTCGCTTGTCAACATCGTTTTATCTAAACCAAATAATTGCTTTTTAGACGATAGTTTAACTAAGTTGTAGATATTGCAACTACAAGACCACTGATCCCAAACATTCCAAAGATAGATCTTTTATTCTATAGATAAGCTAGATGAAACCTTAAGTAACCCTGTACCCACATTTTGATTTATTTTCCTATGTACCCACAATAGGCTTAAATTAAGTACATGTACAGGGTGCCCCATAAGCACCTGATCAGAAGCATACTGCGATATTCTTTCATCAAAAGAAGACAATCTGACCTGCCTTTTCTTAACAAGAAATGTCTGGCTCTTCTGCTATTGATGGTCAAAGTTCTTAAAAAAAAATATCTTGAAATATCGTACGATGTATTTTAGTGTTCGCTGTGTGTAAGTTCGCTGTGAATTTGTTCTTATGTAAGACTCATATTTTGATGAAATAATCGAGTTCATCTGGCAAGTGGTGAATTCTTGAGTGTCGTGGTACAAAAACTGTGGTAGACTTTTTATTTGGTGGATGAAATCAACTCATTTTTTTTTGGTTGATGCACTAATCATTTATTCACAGTTGTGTGCTCTTTTTAAAATCTTGTAGCATTCATAGTTTTTGAGTTTTTGCGAAAACAAATATTTCTGTTTTCTTGCCACTTAACAATGTTAGACACATTAACTGCAAATATTGTGATACGACGCATAAATTAATTGTCACGCAATCTCACAAATTCGTTTCGAATGACCTTTTCTAATGAAGAAGTGACCGACACGGTCAAAGTATTAAGGTTTTGCGAAGACAACTTGCGTGAAAGCGTACGCGTTTACGCGGCGCATATTTGCAGTTAATGTATAGTATTGTTAAGTGGCTTGAAAACAGACAATTTTTTTTTGCGCTAAAACTGTGAACGCTACAAGATTTTACAAAGAGCACAAAATTGTGAATACATAATTAGTGCATCAACCAAAAAAAAATGAGTTGATTTCATCCACCCAATAAAAAGTTATGGTAGTTTTTGTACCACGACACTCAAGAATTCACCACTTGCCAGATGACCTCGATTATTTTATTAAAATATGAGTCTTACTTAAGAACAAATTCACAGCGAGTTTCACCAAAATACATCGTACCATTCTCCCAATATTTCAAAAAAGATAATTTTTTTGAAGAACTGACCATCAATAGCAGAGGCGCCTCGTATTTTTTGTTAACAAAAATTAGCTCAGATCGTCTTGTAATCCAAACCATATCGAAGCACCGTTTTGATCATGTGCTTACGGGACACCCTGTATGCCCTTTACTGCCGTATGTATTGAACTTCAAAGTTCACTATTGAAATTTCACAATTGACTATCTCTGATTGCTGCGGTTCCAAAAAATACACGCTTATTACTCCCAACAAATTCAACTGGAAGTCTTCAATAATTTTTTTGTTGCGTGTTTTTTCTTCCAATGTGCTGATTGATATTGACTTTTTCCTCTAATAACATGTATTAACTATACCTAATTTAAATGTTTTATTTTCGATTTAATTATGGTGTTAATGTGCAACCTCAATTCCTATGCACAAGTTCATCCAATGCACATGGCTTTTTCCTATCCATGGTTACTTTTTCCGTTCACTGTCAAGGTTACTACGTAGTAAAATGCAACCTTCGAAACTTCAGTCGATTGCCGCACCTAATGGTACCAGATCAGTCTAATTGAAAGTACCGTTTTGTTTACATTTTGTTGTCTATTTTTACACCAACTGAGATGATTGTTTATTTTTAACGCGGATCGAATCGCATTACATAACTATTTAGGCGGTCTAGTCATTATCTGCTGCTGATAGTTTTCGACCACATCCCTAGTCTGGATAATCAGAATGTCTTAATGTTGAAGGTATTGAGAGAAATGGTTGACAATCGTAGATTTACAGCGTTTGTATGGTAATTTTTTGAAATTTGTAATATTTCATTTAGTTTCGTGGTTCTCTGTATTAGTTTTACGCTATTTTTAACCGATATAAAGAGGCTAGTCGAAGAAAATTGCCGGATATTGCCTGATATTTTCCAGCCAGGACATTTGTCGCTTACCAGATTTCTCGCTTCCTTTATTGTGCTCGATTTTCCGACACTTACATTAATACTTCTGGGGCACTCGAGTCAACTGGAAAGTTTCCATCTACAGATTTTCCATGCGACACTGGCAACTTATCTTTTGGCTAGCAAATTTATGAATTGGGCGACGGATTAAGCTTTGAGAAATTTCCGCACTTAAAAGAAATCAAACATCAAATATCTAGAATGATTGAAAATGGCCGTTTAGTCCTAAAAATTATTCTGCTAGAAGTTGTCAAGCATATATAGTTTAGAAATTTTAAATAATTAAAGAGATCGAAATGCGAACAACCAGAACCTACTTACTTTTTTGAAGTAAATTTTCAGCGTTTGGAGAGTAATTTTCGGTACAAAAATCTGTGACGGTGTACCATAGATGTTAACGATAAGAAATACGAGTCAAGCCGCTTTTGACGAAAGTGATAATAATAATAATGGCGACAATAATAGGGAATATGAGGATGAATGCAATGTTCAAAATGTGATACCAGAAGATAAAAAACCAGAGATCCAATCTCTTAGAGAATGGGCAGTACTATATTTTTTTCGGTATTTTTAATGGTTTTGTAGATACGTATTTAAGCTCCTATAATACCATCTTAATCTTGACCTGAAATACGTAGTTTTATTTACCCCTTCCTATTAATAGAGAGGATGGAGAAAACGTTTTATTAGTAAAAGATAACTGACTATAAAATATAGCTATAGTGAAAATGGCCAATTTTTACTACAAACCGATTTTGTATTTCCACCAGGGCAGTTTCATCTTTGAACTAGTACAATGGAATGGCGAACAATTTTCCTCTTGGCTCCTCAGTAGTGTTTAACTATTGGAGAAACTTCTCTATTTCAAAAGTGTTTTCTTAAAAGATCACTGGCCTTGGTGTTGGTACAGAGTGAGAACTTTTGGTATTTTTGTGGACAAGAATATACAATTTTCGCAGGTTTCCAAATTTTCAAGGAACTTTTCTACAATTGTTGGATTACTAGCAGATCGTTTGGTTCTTCCAACATTCATTTTTGTTGGTGATATTTTCTTTAAATGTACAAGCGCAAAAGATCCTTTTGCCAGATCAAATAGAGTTAAACTCTCATCATTCTCCATGACTACTACCTAATTGACTAAATTTGATCAGCCGAACCAAAATAGCCGAAAAACATGAAACATTTTTCTTGTCATCCTCTTCAGGGCATATTATGTGATGGTATCAATCGCTGCTTGCATGATTCCCATCGAAACCGAACCATGAATACTATTAAGTAACCCTGTTAAGTTCCATCGAGGAGCCCAAAACCAGTTTTCTCTTACCTAATGCCTGCATAAGCTTGGTCAAGAATAAGAAGAGAAAAAAACGCCAAACTTTTTGGACCAGTTGGAGTGTATTTCAAGGTGAACAACAATGGTAACGTGCGATTCGGTTTTGGGCAGGATGCTCCACTGCCTTCCATTTTAATATCGGCGTGCAAAGCTCCTTGTTGCCAATTCAAGGTTGAACGATTTATTCGGTTTAATGGCAGTAAACAAAAAGATCAGAGAATAAACCGGCCAGATTATCCGAAGGAGTTTGCCGGTTGTTAATGGTACTCGTGAGAAAGTCGAAGCAAGCGATTCTTACTGCCATTCGGAATGAACCAATATCGGAAAATATCCTTCGATATTGTATGATACCAGTGCAACGTTCACTGATGATTAAATCCCGATTTCCTTTCAACTGTTTGAATTAAAAAAATCATGTTTTGAATCATTTATCAACATGGCTTTTGATATGGTCCTTGAGTGGTATTGGTTAACTTAAGCAAGCTGAAACATGACATTTAAAAGGAATATTCAATGAAACTGTAAACAATCTGACTGGCGCCACTAAAAAAATTTGCTATTCAATACGAATGAGTCAGTTTTAATAATTTACTGTGCAAATGATCTATTTTTGTACGCTGTAATTGCGTTATTTTAATGCGTTTTATATAATGCTTTGTTGCTGTTTCCGAACAATGCAGCAGGTTGCAATTTTGTGACAACATTAGCTATTGCGTATACGCTTGCCGTAAATCCTAGAACCCCTCTTGCTCCTTGAACGTTTAGATTAGGAACATTCGCCGAAAGAAAGCCCAAGGAGTACACGGGGAATAGGCAACGTAAAGTAGTTATCAAAGGTCTTTTATATGCAAATGCTCGTTCAGTGGGGCCCTTTATAGTTACAAGACAATTTGATTTCGGAAATTGAATATTGAGCAGGTTTAAGACATATTGGGTGGCACGCTAAAGCAGATGTATCTTTATTATTCGACTTTTTTCCGGTATACCAGAAATTTACATCAAATATCTGTATTAGCTGCTAATGCGTATTGTAACTAGCTGAGATATTTCTTGAGTCATGTGCGTTGTGTTGGTGTTAGTTACATTTTCCCATTCAAGTCATTTGATCGATATGTAATGGGTATTTTTTTGCAACATTGTGTTAGTTTTGTGCGCCTTTAAATAAAAGTTACTACTTCTAATTAACCTTCGATTTTATAATTTGCTACATGTCAACATAATTAATTTCAATATGATGATGCCGGTTTCTACTCTCTACAGTTATAGTTTGTGAAAGAAACACCAAAATGACACGTTTATATTTTACATCTTGTTTTTGAAGAAATCCACAGTTTGTTATTATTTAAGTTCCGTTAAATCTACTGCTACTTCTATTGTACAATCATATATGTATTCGATTCTTGCTTAATTAAATTCGGTTACCATATTTGTTAGCTGCTTGTTTTCTCGTCGATATGTAAATTGCCTTAATGTATTTTTATATTTAAATCATCATTCAGATAATTTTGGAGAACCATTTGCAACTGAGATTACATTAAATCGTCTCATTGAATCTTAATAAGTTCCAGCTTAGTTAAGCTATCGACTATCGATTAAGTTGAAATTGTGACGAACATAAACAATAATCAAGTAGATTCTTTACAAAATATATTTAAAAATGGATCTGTATTTGCAAATTAAATAGCGAGCGTTTTTCTTTATCAAGTGAAGCATTTTAACTTAAATTTACGCCCTAAATATTAATACGTTTTTTATGTTAAATTGACAAAACTGAATAAATTTTCTTGAAAGTTGTAGCACTTGCCAACTTAAAATCCATTACGGTTTACATTTACATGAAAAGATTATTAAGGTTTTGATGCGAAGTTGTACCCTGATTTGTAAGTTAATATGTCGGTTAAGTCATCAATAAATCGTTTTACCTTTATAATCAGTCTGAAACAATATAAATGTTCAACTATATGATATTTTAACTAATACAGTAACCAATTGTACCGATTGTGTCAAGTTTATATGGAGAACCTCTGTCCATGGCAAGTTACTTCCTAGTACTACGTTTTTATTTTTGTCCTAATAATTCATATTCATATAGAATTTAAGATGTTGCTATTTATGTGTTGTCCCGTGCAACGTTTCGCATGCACGCGTGACTGGCGCTCTTCAGAGGAGCTTCGCTAGAATGCTTATACTGAACCGTTGATTGAAAGAGTATATACATATGCTCTTTCAATCAACGACTACACTAAATTTTTAAGCTTCCGATGCACAAAGTCAGAATATTGTATATGTGATACATGCATGTATCCCTTTAGACCAAATGGATTTTCAAAAAAAAATTTCTGACGACTGCCGACTAAAAAACTGCCAAACTGATTCAGAATAATTTAATGAAAATTTCTGTATTTAAAGTGTATTTTCTCTGAACAGAAAACGTACAAAAAATCAACGTTTTCTCATTTTTTTTAAATTTTCACACAAATTGTCTATCCAACCTTAACCCTCCGGCGGGCGCGTCAAATAATTTTCCATAAGCGGGCGCGTCGCGGCATTTACACCGCATTTCACTTTTTAGTTGTAAATCGTAA